AGGAGGAGGAGGAGGAGGAGGAGGAGGAGAAGAAGAAGAAGAAGAAGAAGAAGAAGAAGAAGAAGAAGTCCTCTTTTTTTAGTTTTGATATTTTCCTAAACAGTTCATTATTAAATGGGGCTGGGTTAGTTTAGTTGGTATCATGCTGGACTACGGAGTGGACCGGCTAGGTCGGAATCAGCAGCTAGACTAGGTGTTCTTGAACTAGTGTCGTTTTATGCAGTTTCCAAGACTCTCAACCATCAGAGATGGACGGCACTCATATGACCTTATGCAGTTGCGAGCGCCGTAAAACCCTATACTACAAGAGATGGACGCGAGATTCGGAGATTCTAAAATAGTTGGATGGGACGTTGAATCCATACAACTATTGTGTTACTCGTTGTTAAATGTGGCTGTTATTGTCCTGGTAAACCATGAGCTAAAAAAAAAATCCGACACAAGATGCCAAATGTTGATACCGTAATTTTTTTTTTGTTAATTTACATCTGTGGTGTAATAGTTAATAGTTACACTCTTCCTCGTTACGCGCATGCTGGAAACACAGGTTATCGAAGCTTGTATTTTTTTTTTTTTATTTGTTAATTTGGACAAGAAATTGTTGGGGGTAAACTAGATATAATGGGACCGAGCAATATCAGGGAGAAAAAGTCAAAACAATCCCAATGAAAATTTTATCGGGCTGCTTCGTTGTGTCTAAATAGCTTCTCAAGGCGAGGAATTCGTTGTTGTTTTTTTGTTAATGGAACAATGACGTCACGTCTTCCACAGCTTGTCGCTTTTTGTCAGTGTAGACTGTAGCGTTTCCTGTAGAAGAAAGTTACAAAGACACCTACGTCGAGATCTCGAGATCTGCTTTGAGATGTGAGGTATCTCCTTCACGTTTCCATCACCAGCTGGTGGTTCCCCGCCACTTTTACGTATTGTTGGCAGCTTTTTGGCGATCCTTGGCTTGGGTTGGAGTAGAGACCTGTTTTGATTGAGAAGGCAATGGAATTTTAAGACGGTAGACTAAATACGTGTAGTGTGGTGAGTGAGATGTTTATCTGTGCAAGTTTAGCATAGTCTCACATTTTACAGGATTATGTGCTTCATGTGTACATATCTTATAGGAGGTGGATTGACAGATATTGAGAATAAGATATCGCTGGAATTAAAATATATCAACATCATCATCATCATCATCATCACCATCATCATCATCATCATTATCATCATCATCATCATCATCATCATCATCATCATCATCATCATCATCATCATCATCATCACCATCATAATCTCTACACAAAGGGTCGAAACAGCCTGCCTCATAAAGTGTGTCAATGTTGGTGTAAAACACTTACGATCATAACCACTCTTTTCGTCTCCAGAGTAGACACAGAGTATGCAAAGCTCAAGCTGGGAGACCTCTCCATGATTGCGACGTTAGGAGTGGGTGGCTTCGGCAGAGTCGAGCTGGTGAGTACATTGAACTTGGTCTCTAAGTTTTGGGGGGTTTTTGTTTGTTGTTTTTATTTTCTCTTGGTTTTGGTTTGTTTTTGTGTTGTTGTTGTTGTTTGGTTGTTTGTTTGTTATTGTTGTTGTTTTGTTTTTTGGGGGGTTTTTTTTGTTGTTTTTTGTGTTTGTTTGTTGTTGTTGTTGTTGTTGTTTTTTTGGGGGGGTTGCTATAGTAAGTACTATACGTTTCTTCTGTCCTGATACTCAGGTAATACGCATAATATGTATATTGTCTCGTATGCTCCTTTTGGTCAAACGCTCTCACGTCTTCGTTCTTGTCAGTGTCACTCTCCTCTTAAATTCGAATCTGCTTCTTAGACTTCTCACAGCATTTCCAGTCGTTGGTTGGCGGGTACCCTGGTGTGGTTTGCGCCTTCTTTCTCATTGAAAATATGTATCGCCCTTATCTCTCCTCCTTCTTTTCTTTGTATGATACTCTCGTGTAATATCTTTAATCTTCGACACTTTTGTGACGTGTTTGTGCTGCAAATGCGGGGGAAAAAACTTAACAGCATTTCCTTCCGTCATATTTTACACCTAGTCTAATACTGTGGCCAGGGGTTTATACCGGCACATAAAGCGGGGAGAGGGGGGAGAGGTGACAGCTTTTTTTTACACTTTAATTCTTTTATGAAGTACTTCCAGCATTAACTGTTTGTGTCACTAGTCGATGAAATCAAGTGCTGCTCAATATAATTTGGTCATTTGATTGGATTTAATGGCATCGTCTTACAGCTTCCGCATAAATCTTGCTTTTGATTTTTTTAAATATCCATCTTGAAGAGAAGTCGAGATATTTGAAATAGAAGTAGTGGGGCGAGGGGAGGGTGGTCGCCAGGTGCCAGAAGTAAAATTAGCGACTAAGTACCGCCAATTTACTGACTTTCAAAGCTTGAGTGTCCTTGGAAGCAGCAAATTTACATATTTGTGCCTTTGATCAACGTTTTTCGGTGAAATCCACACAGAAATGTATTTTAAATGAGCCTAAAGGTGTTCAGCACTAAAATAAAGATAAAAATTTTCCAACGATCAGAAAAATGCCGGTTTCTTTTATTTTTATTATTTTGACGAGCTCATGGTCCACCACGGTGCCACACATTTATGTAGTCGTGTTTGTAAAGCAGATATTTTTCTTTTCAAAGAAACCAACTTGTAGCCTTACTTGAAGTTACTAACGCTTGACCTTCAACATCGTTTCAGTCCGATGTCGCTGATGATTGAAAGGCGCCCCAAACGTCTTTTTCTTTCCTTCTGTTGCTTCTGTCTATTCGTATTATTCTTTCCCTGAGTTTAATGACTGTTATTATGTGTGTGTGTGTGCTTCTCTGTTCTGAAACAAACATGTTCGATGTAGGGGCACGGCCTAAGCTGAATCAGAATGTCATTTGATTACTGCGGAGCCCTCTTGGGTTTCGAAACTCCATTCTTTTCCTTTGGATCGAAAATTGATCTCTTTTGTTTTCTTCCTCATATATGCTTTATGTCTTAAATCACTAATGGTACCTTGTATTCTTGCAAAGGCTGTAAAAGATTGAACCCAAGCAAACCGTTTCAAACAAAAAGAAAGAAAAAATAATTCCTACAGTGTTTAAATGTTGATTGCGTTTTCTTTCTCCTTTCCCTCTTTCCACCCTTCTTAGTTTCTTGGCATTCCCACCCTTTTTTTCTGTCTCTTTTTCATTGTTCCTTATATTTTTCTCCTCACTTTTCTGTGCCCTCCCTCCCCCCTCTCTCTCTCTCCTGTTTTACTGACTTAAACTCTCTCTGTGCTCTGTATTTTGCTGTTGTTGTTGCTGTTGTTGTTGTTGTTGTTGTTGTTGTTGTTGATGATGATGATGATGATGATGATGATGATCATGATCATGATCATGATCATGATGATGATCATGATGATGTCCCTCGTAAATGATAGCAGTGATGACGATATTTTTGGCTTTTTGTTGCAACTGTAGTTTTATCTTCGTCTTTGTCATTGTTGTTGTTGTCAAAATAGATGTTACGGGTGCCTGTGTCTTCACATTTCAAATCAACCAACAGCCCAACTGTTTGCGAGGAAACCGGCAGATTTGTATGAGCATGCTTGGGAGTTTTGCTCAAAGACTCTTGAAAGGAACTACACATTCATTCTTTCATTTAAACCGGTTTTGTGTTCGGGCATTTGAACGTACTCGTTTATTTTCGCAACCTGGGCATTGTTTGTTCCACGAGGAAGAGACAAGAATAGACGAACAGGCAGATGAATACATGAAGACACGTGAAAGATGAAACGAAAAACAGTATCTTTAAAAAACGTAATGATAGAGAGAAGGAGCAGACTCACGTTCTGCAGAGTTTACGACATTAAAGGTGTCTGTTCATGGAGTTTTGAAGAGCTTTAGAGGATTTTGTTTGATCTTTAAAATTGCCACTACATTAAGCGAGGGGTTTTCCTTCAACATGCCTTGGCGGAGTTTTGTTTTCTTTAACTAATTTACCCCCGAGATATTAGAGTTGAGAAATGGGCAAGGTAATGAAATAATCTCTCTGATAAGCACGAGCCATTAATGAGAAAGACCCAGTTGCTGAGCTGTGTTGCTGTTTCGTTTCGGAGGATCTGAAGACAACATAATACACGTATCTTTATTATGTCTTTCATTACTTTATCTCAATTTGGTTCGTACGTGGGTAACTCTAGTGGTATCATGCTGGTTTATGATGTGGGCGACCCTAGTTCGAATTTCCATCTGGACATCCCTGAACTCGGGTTGTTTAAGGAGTTTTAAAGCCTCTACCCACTATCCTTATCGGCCTAGTTTAGATGGACGTTTAGATCTTCGTTTTAGATAACCTTTGTTAAAAAGTACTTAAAACGTGTGCTTTACATGTAGGTTTAGTGTTCCTCACGGATGCCTTTATGCAAGGAGAGTTCATTACTGATATAGTCAGCTCTTCTTGTGAGTTGAGTTCAATGTCCTTTTGGACCCAAATTGGTCATATTGGAAGAGGGGGGAGAAAAAGTCTAGATCTAATCAAGTGAAGATAATACAGAGATTAATAAATATTGCCCATATATACATGAATTGGAGGATATACGTCATTATATACAGTTTCATTGCTAGAGAGGCTGTGCCCTGCCCCAAAACTAAAACAAAGCAAAACAACAACAACAACAACAGAACCCGCTGAAGCTCAGTGGCCTGTAAAAATACAAGTTAGAGAAATTAAGTCCTTTAGTATGTGTGAGAGGGGGGGAGAGAGAGTGAGAGAGAGAGAGAGGGTGAGAGAGAGAGAATGCGTGTGTGTGTGTGTGTGTGTATTAAGGGTACGGTGATAGATCATAGTAATTTGTATCCAATAGTATGGCAGAG